GATAAATCCAAACCCCTTTCTAAAATCAAACCGTTCTCTGATTCTTGGCTGTGTAATGTCACACAAGCCAAGCCCCCTCCCATGATTGTTGATTGACACTGGTGTTTTACCGTAGGGTGTACTCACACTAGGCACGGTTGCCTTGAACCGAGCCCGAGCGTGATTATCCCCCCTCCCCACTCCCCCACTGGCCTGCGCTCACACTTGCACTAAACATTCTGGGCTGCAGCACGCTTACGTCATGTACGAGATAACGGAGAAAACCACTTTCACTAATATTCTGCATAATTTATAATTTATGCCGTGCAGTGATTTTTACTTGTATGTATCAGAGAATTATTATGGAGGCAGCTGACGTTAATGAAATAATTTGCAGCTTTACTCGCAAACTACAATTCCTGTTCATCAATAAGGTGAGAACCAGACCAGTTATAAACCTAAATATACTTGATTTAATTAAATTAGTTGAAAAGTGTACTGCAGTAGTAGTAATAGAATATGTTTGCGGTCGTAATGATGACAGTAGCACACACAAAATAGTCACAAAATAGTAGCTGTTCTGTTCTCCGGTGCGGTTAGCGCGCACACTTCATGCGTACTGCGCCCGAGCCCACCTCTACGGATACGGACGCGATACAGAGCGATCACACTAGTTAAACGAACCGGGCTTTGGAGGTCAAATGCGCTCGGGCACGGTTCAAAACGCCTAGTGTGAGTACACCCTTAGACCCGCCCTGAGTGAGCTGTCATCAGTCCGCCATTGTTTCGATGCCGGAGCAGGTGTAGACAAGAATGTCTCCTAAGCGATTGAGGTGTTTTGTTGTTGGATGTAATAATGAACATAGCAGTCATCATTTATTCCTGGCATCTGAGCCGCTGAAGACTCAGTGGATTAGCTTTGTTTTTGAAGGGAATGCATCCTCCGATCTACCTAAATGAGTCTATGTTCGCGCAAATCATTCGTGATCCAGCTTCATCTCCAGAAGAAGTTTTTTAATGAATTTTGCAAATAGCCTTTCCTAATAATGTGCTAGTTAGCAAGTTTCACGATGAATGCGGCTAAAGTTTACAGTCTCTCAGAGAACTGCGTGTCATCCCACGGAAGAGAGGGGCGGGGAGAGCAGAGCTCATTAGCATTTAAAGGGAAATGCACCGAAACGGCTTGCTGTAAACAGAGCTGTTTTTGACAGGTTAAAAGGGTGTTGTTTTACACTACCATTGAGAAATTTTAGCCAAAGTATGTTATAGACTTTTCATTAAGGCCCTAAAGAATAATATCAACTTGTGGAAAATGGGCATCCGATGACCCCTTTAAAATGGCATACTGGGACATAGTGATGACACAAATGAATCAGAGATTTGAATTAGTTCACTGAAATGGATACATGGGACTGACTGAAAGAAATGAATTGAACTTATTAAATTAGCCAAATTAAGGAAACATTTCATAGATTAAGAAAGTCAAGTAGTGTAGCGAAGTACCACTTTCTCAGAGGTAACTTCCGAACTAAGCAGCTTTATATTGGTCAACATGGCATATTCACATGTTCAAAGTTTATTTAACAAACCTGAATCCAATGTGAAATATGTGTGGCGAAATTCCAGATCGCATGGATTCCAGTTGACAGAACTGTATTTGGCCCACAGAATTTTGCCGTACAGAGGTAAATGTTACCGTACTTTAATGCTGTTTTTATGACTGTAGTTTACTGTAAATCTACACTCATACTTTTAAGTCAAATGTGAATCTAGTCTAATGACAAAATGTCAGTAAGCTTAAATAAAATTAATGTGATTAATTTTTTACCGCCTGCAGAATTACACAGAAAACTGTTTGAATGAACTCTTTGAATTTTGTATGTAGTTCTACATTGAATTTTATAGTAAGCTCTGCCTCCTTTCATGTTTATTATACTGTATATCATTAAAAAGTATCTATTATGTAAGTTTAATGATGAATTGACGGTGATAACATAAGGGGACAATATGTAGAATTTAGTGCTGTCAAACGATTAATCGCAATGAATCGCATCCAAAATAAAGTTTTTGTTTACATAATATATGTATGTGTGCTGTGTATATTTATTATGTATATATAAATACACACACATGCATGTATATATTTCAGAAAAATGTTATGTTTATATATTAAATATATTTATTTATAATATAAATTATAGGAATATAAATATGTACATGTAAATACATGTAAATATTTTCAAAATATATACTGGATGTGTGCTATATATATACAAAATAAATATACACAGAACACACACATATTATGCAAACAAAAACTGTTATTTTGTATGTGATTAATCGCGATTAATCGTTTGACAGCACTAGTAGAATTATATCAGCTCAGAAAATGTGAGAAATTGTACAGATTAGTTTAAATATTACTCTAAATTACTCAATTATTGATCCTGTGAGGGAAACAAGACAGTCAGCACTGTATATCTTCAAGTAATCATGAATGTTTAGAAAAACAAAGAAATTCATTGGTCAAGAAGTGTGGGAAACTTGCAGTATACACCTTATATTTAACAATTAACATGCGACAGTGGAAAAAGACACAGTTTCTCCCCTACACAGTATACATAACGATAACCACACCAAATAAAAAGCGTAAGCATGGCATTTGTGTGGGTATAGGGATGAGATGGCAAAGTGTGACTGCTGGGTGTTCAGCATCACTGCAGCTGCCCATTCAGCTCAGCACAGAGCCAGCTGCTCTCCTCACACACACACACGCTGCTCCTGTACCTCCTGATCACACATTCACACACATGCATGACTAACACTTAACTCGCTCTGAGTAGGCACAACATTTAGCCTAATGTTGTACTGCAGAGAACCTTTTAATCATGGGGCTCAGAATCGTTCAGTGTTTTGCACACGTGTAATTGTCTGTGCATCAGGTTTGGAAACCGTGCTTCAGCCTCCCCAGTCCCCATTTCATCACCTTCAGGTTGCTGGAAATTATTGTGGATGTGGTTTTCTTTGGAGTAATTGGCAGCTTTCAGGAGTCTTGGCCGGGGTGTAGGCTGAGGCATCATTATGTGTTTGACACCTTCGCCCTGTGTCTTGGATGTAGGCTGCGAAAGCTCACATTGCTGAGGTGCACCTCCAGTCCTATAATAGAGTCTATAGGGTGTTTACTGGCCATCCTCTTAGTTTTGCACTGTTGTTTTTTCTTAGTCCACAGTGCTTTATTGGCATGATTGTAAAGATTACGAAATTACAGAAAGTATACAGTAGTTCCAATTAACTTTTGGTCTGAGAGTTGAGAACATTTATCAGACAGAAATATGTTGTACAGGCCATGAAACTGTATTTTGCATTATTTTTGTTAATTATATTTTTTAAATGTATATAATGTGAGGAATATTCCATATGCATGTAGCCACATTGTTATTTATGAAATAATATAAATACGATACATCATAGATGCATAGATAAAATCAGCAAAATCTATGTGTATTGAAATAATAGCGTCCATAATAGAATACATTATAAAATCAGGCATCGTATCAACTCCTATACTGGCATTTAGAATACATTTGTATTGGTGCATTCCTTATAGGTTCATTAACATGTAAAAGTTAGTTTTAATTTAATTTAATTTTATTAACTTTCCATTCATTAAAAGAATCAATTCATGGAAAATTCAGAATTTCCTCATAGATATAAAGCAGCACAACCATATTTTATACACACACACACACATATATATATATTAGGGCTGCACGATTAATCGAATGCGATTGTCATGCGCATTTTGTTAGTAAAGCCGGTTCTGTAATCAGCAGGAAATCATCATCACGTGCTTTCAGATGGAGCAGCATTTACTACACAGAGCCAGCCTTCACTGACAAGTTACGCAAAAAAAATAGATTTTATTGCGCGATTCTGAAATCGAAGAAATCGTTCGCGATAATGACAGCTGTATGCATAACTTCTCAGTGAACTACGGCTCTGTGAAGTAAATGCTGCTCCATCTGAAAGCATGTGAAAATACCACATTTAATAACATATTTTTACTCCAAACTCACTTCATAACGTCAGTCGAGTGTTTGAAATAAATCCTCCTGTGAGATGATGTGGCTTCTTACACAGAATAAGGCACGCAACATATTTCATAGTATTCTAAGCAGTAATAAAGGCATTGCATTATAAATATACTTTATTTTAATGAAAATGATAATAATAAGAACTCAGATAAACCATATATTGCCGTAGTCGTGTGTTTATTAGTCACGTTGAATCAATGAAAGCAGCTGAATCTTCTGTTTATTCAGCTGCAGCAATAGGCATTTTCTGGGTTTCTTCTGCGAGGCGTATTTGGAGTTTCAGCGCGAGAGCGCCCTCTGGCCTTCGGATGGAGATTTACTGCTGATCACAGAACCGTGCTTCACTGAAAGATACGCATGACAATCGCAGCTTCTGTCGAATCGCGATCTCGATTCCATTTCGATTTATCGTGCAGCCCTAATATATATAATATAATATAATATAATATTTATATGCCTTTTGGCTTCATTGTTGTCAAACCTGGTGCAGTGCACACACTTTTTATAAATCTAAGTACGTACACTAATGAGATGCTCCTGATGTGGGAGAGACAGCATAACAGTCTTTTCTTTGATGCATATTCAAATGACAGCTGTATCAGAACTATTTCTTCATTACATTTCTGTTCAGAATATGAGCTGTAAAATGATACCAAACATGACAGAGATCTATTAAAAGAATACTATATATGTTGAGAGGAAATGTGAGCTTGCACAGATGCACATCAACAATGTATGCATAAATGCTTTTTCCATGTCTTCAGTATTCATATTAAAGAGTCTTTTATGCTAGTGTAGTAAAATGAAAATGGAAATACATGAGAATGCTGTAGATTGTTGCCCTGTACCTCTACAGTGGTCTGAACTCAGTTTCTCATGTCAGCGATGCATTTTTCATATCTTTCATTGCTCTCACTTATTTTGCAGGATCCTGCAGCAGCAAAATGAAGACCTCCGTCGCCGGCTCTCCCAGACCACTCATAAGATGGAGGCGATGGAGACTGAGTTCGAAACCAGTCGACATTACATGCAAGCAGAGTTGGGTCGAACCAGAGACGACCTGGAGAAAATGAGAGACAAATTCAGAAGGTTAGCTACTTTTATTCAATATGGATGCATTGAATTGATCAAAAGTGACAGTAAAGACTTTTATAGTGTTACAAAAAATAGTCTATTGCATATTGCAAATACAGTTCTTTTGAACTTTATAAGAATCCTTAAAAAGACTACACAAAAATATGAAGCAGCACAAAAATAATAAAGTCCCAAAGACCTAAAAAAACCCAACAACAATTAAATATCAGGGGTTTTTATTGTTTTACAGCCCTGCTGTATTTATGTATATATCCAAACTTTGGCAAATTCCATGACATTCCGCATTATACTGTCCATTTTTATAACATGGATTCCATAATTCCATTTGCATTTTCTGCATTGTGGAAATCATGGAGCCCTAACATTTCTCCACAAACCTCTGACTGCAAAATGACAAGAGTCTTCCAGCATGAAACTTGCGTGTTGAGGAAAGAGGTGGATACAGCATCTTTCTTAGTGAAGTTGCAGGCGTAGATGAGGGAGGGAGATGAGACATACCCCTGCAATCCATCTTTAATGATTATCAAAGCAGCCAAATTAATGAGCTCTTTGTAGTTATATGAAGCTGGCAGCCATCACTTTAATCGCACTGACCGGCGGCTGTGTAGAGTTGCAGGACCCCTGTGGCTTATACTATAAAGCACAGCGGGATCGGCAGTGCAAAGCATGCTGGTCCGGCCGACACAGTCCAGAGGAAGACGAGAGAACTGCAAACTTGCCTAGATAATAACCACATAGAAAACATCTGGAAGACCTCCTTTATCGTCAGTATTTAATAAATTTGTTGTGGTGTGAGATTTCGAAGGGCAACACAGTTGTCTGACATGAATAGAATAAAAAAGGGAACATTTATGGATCCAATTCCACTTAACGATTCCATCAACTATTCTTTTAGTGCTTTTTCTCTCTCATCACACTCAGTTCAGACAGCAAGTTCACAACTCGTATAAAACATAATGACTTTCAGTACAGGAAACAGTATTTTAGTATGGTGGTCCATCAGCAGACATCTGCAGAATCATTAACAGAAGCAAACATCATGAAAATCATTTGGTTCCAGAATTTTATAGAAATGGAACCAGTTCTGAATTTACAACTCCTATTCAGTCGGAATCTAATACACCACAGCAGTGTTTATTTGAATCATATTTTATTTATTGATTGATTTAATATAATTTAAGTGATCAGTCACAAGTTTTTCTAATAAGCATTTTTTTTAAATGTGATTTGAATTACTACTACAATGTTCATTAAATTGACTCAACAGATGTTGTTCTGTTGTGCCGTTAAAAAAAAAAGTGCCTGACAGCCTAGTCTTCAGGAAATAAATAAAAAATGTTTAACAGGCAATCAAGCAGCTCTATTGTTTGACAAAAGCCTTGTGTTTTTTCAAGCTAATTAAGAACTGCATTTGAGAGCCTTAAGTGGCTGTAATGTGTTACTTTCATTACAGGTAAGGGAGGAGAACAGCAGCGTGAGATTGTGGCTGATTTTAATGAGCTTGAGCTTGCTGTGAGGCTGTGCTATTTGTGTAAGGGTTTAGTGGCACGGTAATGGCCAGTTCATCTGTGTAACTTGCCTCTGACATGCAGACAGGTTGTTTTTTTGTGTGAACAAAGGCGAAGGCGACTGCATGTCAACGACACATAGATTTTGATGAAAGATTGTGTAGGCAAACTTTTTTCTTTGGAATATTGTGCACTGATAATGCACAATAAGACCAGGAACATTTCATCTTTAAGGTACTAAAATTCGGTCCAATATTTGAATGCAATTGGTCTGTTCAGACAAGTGTGAAAAAGAGAAATACAGCACAATATGCTATGTGTACAGTGTAATGTGCTGTTTGCTTATCAACATACTAGGGCTGCACGATAAATCGCATGCGATATTTAACGCGCATCTTATCAGTAAAGCCGGTTCTGTAATCAGCGGTAAATCTCCATCACGTGCGTGCTTTCACATTGAGCAGCATTAACTACACAGAGCCGTTGTTCACTGACGAGCTGCGCAAAACCACGTTCATATTCACACGATTTTTTGCGCAGCTCGTCAGTGAACAACGGCTCTGTGTAGTTAATGCTGCTCAATGTGAAAGCACGCACGTGATGGAGATTTACCGCTGATTACAGAACCGGCTTTCTGACAAGATGCGCGTTAAATATCGCATGCGATTTATCGTGCAGCCCTACAACATACTGATATACCGTATTTGTTTTTTTTTGGGTTTTTTAAAATTTTTTCCTTATGTTTTTCTCTGGATTTGATTCGACTAATATTTTTCATAATTGCCTTGAATTATGATAATTGTAATAAAAACACACCCCACACAAATACACGGTTAGCAATGTGCAACTTTCCATTTCTGGCACCAGTTTGTCGTGGAGAAGAAAGAAAGTCAAACAACATTAACATGTTTTCAAACAGCCTTTCACTTTTTTTTTTTAAAATGCAATACAGAGAGAGAGCCAGGTCTGTTCATGAGTGGCACTAAAACTGCAGCAGCTCCAAACATGTGATCAAAAGAGCGACTCTTATTGGTCAACCAATTTTCTTCATGGTATGATTGGAAAAAAAAGTTAGAACACCTCTCTGTAAAATAAATAAAATAAAATACATATGTGCATATGTCAATACATTAATTAATTAAAACTGCATTAATAGCATGCAAATGTTTGTTCATTCAAATTAAAATGTTTATCAAACTTAATTTGTGCACCAAACATTATTATTGGTACTAACAGGCATTTTTGCCATTTAGACACACCCCAAAAATGACATTTTCCAGCTGTTATAATAAAGGATCTGTTGAGTATTTTAGGCTGAAACTTCACAGACACATTCCGGGAACACCCAAGACCAATATTACATCTTGTAAAAAGGGGCATAATAGGTGCCCTTTAAATTTTGTCACAATACGCTGAGTGGCTCCACCCCTAATGAAATCTCATTGGTCCAAAATTCCATTACATATGTGTACTGTATATTAAACCTCAGATAGCTTAGCTGTGATTGTTTCTTTCATGCAGGATTTTGGCTTTCAAGATGGACAAAAAATTACTTGTCACTGTAAACATCACTTCACACTTTGTTCTGAAACAATGTTATAAGTTCAGCTTTAGATCAGCAGATCCGAGTGCAGATTCTGATGATTTAATCGCGGACTCTTATCGGCCTGATATGCCCCTGATGGTCTGAGTGCAGCGCTTTGTGATTGAGTCGGTGTGTAATTTGGCTGCAATCATGCCACTTTATCTCCAATCAGGATGCATCTCCGGCTTATATGCTTTCAGACGGCAGAGAGATTGAATTACCCAGCATTCCTTCCATCAAAAAAAGTGTGGTGCTCACATTTGCTGCTCTATTTCCCCTCCTGCCACATCCTAAACCTGCATGCCAGCTCTCCGCAGATAATAGCCTAATTGGATTGTAATTGGTTAGTGATTCTGCAGCGTAGGCCTTTGAATGCCATCTCTGATCTAACGCTGTAACATTGTCACATGCGCTGTGGCGATTTGCACCAGGTGCTCTGGGAACCCTTGAATGAGAGGTATTGTTATAGATGTTTGTTTGTTTACTTAATTACCTGTTTATGTGGTGCGTTTTTATTGAATTTATTTTGCTTCTGAGGCTGTTCAATTGGACCTTCCCCTCCTCTGTGATTCAGAGCGGTCATCAAGTAGCAGTAATTATTGCATTCCATCAGCACCGGCCGTTCGCCGATATGAACTGCTGCTAGAGTTTATGACTCGGCGCAAATCACCTCCGCTTGCTAAAATGAATTGATTAAATTCTAATTGTTATGAAGCCAGACAGTGAAAGTCCCTTATGATCTGCCAGGCAGCGGAACAGTATTGATCCACGAGAGGGAAAGAGTGATTGAGATTGAGGTTTGCGCTGTAAACCGAAAAGCAGAAGTTGGAGATAATGTGGCATGCAGGCCAGATGGTCTTTGTAAGCACAAATCAATGTTACCTTCTAAAGGTTTTTTGAACGGAAGCCTTGGCACCTTGTGCTGAATCTCATTTCGTGAATTCAGTGTTGATTCAATGAAGATATAAAATCAAAAGTTATCAGCATCACCTCATGTAGCCCACGCCTTATTTCTTAGATGTGTTTGGTCTTTAACCCTCTACAGCATAGCATTGCCCTCAGGCAACGGAAAGTTTTTCATATGCCCCATGTTCAGTACATGTTTTTTTTAAATGACTGCAACCAATTAAAATGTTTGAAAAGTATTAAAGGCAGAGTAAGCGATTTCTGGTAGCCAATGTTGATATTTGAAATCACCGAAACAAACACGCCCCTACCCCAAAAGGGTCTTGCCCATTGTGATAGCTCCGCCCCACATATACGTTCGCAACCCAGGCAACGATTAGTTCTGTGAAACAAAGCAAAACCAATGTTACACCATGTCTACGGACGTGAGCGGCGCGGCAAGGAAACTGCTGCCGGGTTTTATTTATGACGTGCTGACACAAATTTCAAATGGTTTTCAACGGTCGTTTGATCGCGTCCAGCGTAGCAGACTTTAGCTGTTGTAGACACGATGTTACTCACCTATTGAGAAGAAACAAAGCAACCTCGGCGTCCGATCGCAGGCCTCCGCTCCTTGAGTTCTCTCCAGCGCTGGAAAGCTAATCCGATATTTACACGGGTCCTACTTCTTGCCTTATCGTTCCGCAGACGTTTTCTTCTTTTGTTTTTTTATCCGCCATCTCTATCTTTCTGTCGCTCGGCTCGGCTAATGTCTGTCCCATGCACTGAAAGCTCTCTCCTCCACATCACGAGTAGACACGCCCCTTATTGCTGATTGGCTACAAGTTTGTTTTGCTATTTGGCCCGAATCAGTTTTCTAAGTGTTTTTCAAAAATCATATACCCTGCCTTTAAAGAACAGTACAATAAGATGTGGGAATCACTATCAAGCACCATTTGCACATGGTGTGAGAAGAAGGCAAGATTATTTGCTTTGGTAATCTAATTTAAAATGAC